CTAGCGCATTTCACACAGGCTGCTAGATTCACTTTCGCCAGAAAGTCGTGTATGCCTAAGGTTAAAAATAAATGATGTTTATAGTGAATGCCCCTATAAATGGTCTTATTTTTACGATTTAGTTTTAATCCAAATGATGCGTGCTAAGTGAGTGAACATCAAAGATCACACAACAGAATTGTGCGTGCGCTCTCTCTCCCTTCCTCCCTACCTTTAAGTAACTTGTGCATTGTTTTACTTACTTGTTTTTGACGTATCCGACCGAACTACAAACTTTCCAGTGATGTCTGTGAGAAAGGTATATTCACTCGACAAGCTTGCACATCTGCGCCGCCGCGCGCTCAATCTACTCAGCTTGCTTTGCTTATCAGCTCGCGCACATCAGCTATACAGGCGTTAATACTGAATGTTTAACATTATATTCATTGCATACATATACTTTGTAGACATCCTTAATCTCTAATAACTCCATACTGCTGTCTGTTGTTGGTGTTTCTTTGTCTGTATATGGCACTTATCACATGCTGTTTGGTATCGGGGCATTTTAACGAGTACGAGTACAGGACCTCAGTATCTGGCCCGATGCCAGTATCGGTATCGGTGCATCCCTATTTAAAATACATTAATTAATGTGATTTGATGGTTAAGACTACACACATAAGCATTGTGTCATATTGTTGTATATCTGACTTGGAACCGAACAGAAGTGGTACAACTTTGAGATCCAAGAGTAGTACTAGCTAGTGCATGCCAGGGCCAGTCGCATTTCCACTGTCACTTCCAGGGCTTGATCTGAGTTGGGAGACAACTTAAATGTCCGCAGTTCTTTTGTGAGCTGAAGTACTCAATTAATTGTTTTTAATGAGTCAATCTCTTATTTGCTAATCCAAAATCTAGCATCCACATGCATTGTTCTGTGTGAGGAGTTTTCATTCTTCTCTCTGCAGGCTGTATAACTGCAGTATTGGAGAGGAAGGTTGTTCTTTTCTGGCTTCAGCTCTGAGATCAAACCCGTCACACCTGAAAGAACTTGATCTGGGCTGTAATAAACTAAGAGATTCAGGAGTGAAGCTGCTAGCTGATCTACTGCAGGATCCACAGCGTAAACTGAAAAAACTACTGTGAGTGTTATCTCAATATGAAATTGATATATTGTGACAATGGTATTACATTTGGGGTTCTGAGTTTCCAGCTTGCAATTTACATTACAAGAGAAAATGACATTATAATTGCTACACTCTTAAAAAAAAGGCACAAAAGCTGTCACCCGGAGCTGTAACCTTTGAAAAGGTTAAAGTTAATATGTATTTTAGATACTAACATGTACCTTTAAGGTATCAATATGCACCCTTTATGGGTACGTAAGGTACAATGATATATACCTATTAAAAAGGTACTGCCCCAGTGGCAGCTTTTGTACCCTTTTTTCTGAAAGTGAGCATGGAACACACAAGTTTTACCTGACAAATTAATGTCTGAGCTTAGCTGTTAGGATTTTTTCTATTCCTCTCTGCAGGTTGGAAAATAGCAGTATTGGAGAAGATGGTTGTGCAGCTCTGGCTTCAGCTCTGAAATTAAACCCATCACACCTGAGAGAACTGGATCTGGGCAATAATTATCTAGGAGTCTTAGGAGTGAAGGCGCTCTCTCGTCTACTGCAGGATCCAAAATGTAAACTTGAGATACTGCAGTGAGTATTATTTCTCTCTCTCTCTTTTAAGCCAGTTTGATGTTTTAACCTATGGAATGTCTTTGGGTTTGAATTAATTAAAAACAATTTTAAATCATTTTAAATTTTGATTTAATTTGAATTAAATTTGGGATTCTTTTATCTTTAATAACCACTAAAAATTAATGTCTACAGGCATGGTAAAGCTTTATACAAATTGTACTTTGCTCTGAAAACACGCTATTTTACAACATCAATGTCCCAAATAGGAGCTTTTTCTCTTCTCTCTGCAGGTTGTATAACTGCCGTATCGAAGAGAAAGGTTGTGCCCGTCTGATTTCAGCTCTGAGATCAAACCCCTCACACCTGAGAGAACTGAATCTGAGCTGTAATAAACCAAGTGTTTCAGAAATTAAGCTGTTCTCTAACTTAGTACAGGATCCACGCTATAAACTGGAGAAACTAGAGTAAGTTTTTACTCTTTTATATGATATATAAGCTTTACAACAGTTAGTTCTAGTCCTCAAATTTGAGGAGTTTCCAGTAGTTTCCAATTTAGAGAATAGTCTTTCTGCTTAGCATTAAACAAGGGATAGGTTCACCTTTAAATAAAAATAATAATTATTATTATTAGGGTAAGTAAATTACATAATTTTTATTTTTGGGTGCACTATACCTTTAAATGTGTCATCATCCACTCCCAGGCCACTTCTGACAGGGAAGCAAAGTATTCATCATTGATGAAATTGGTAATACATGGTTAGGAGTCTGTAAATGTAGTAGGAAAGCAGCAAAAGAGCAGAAGAAAACACAGAGACAACACTACATCTTTTGGATTAGTCGTAATTAAGTCCTGAGATGTAGCACTTCAGTTGGAATTATTTTCACTGTTTAAGGATCATGTGAAGAGAAAATGATGCATCTATAAAGTCTTTTAGACATGATCTCTAATATTGATCATGTGTAAATTAATATTTGATCTTTCTCCCCAGTTTGTTTGTACTGTATTGAGCCTCATCTCTAACAACTACCTACAAATGACAAACCAAACAAGAGCTGCTATTGGACAAACACCAGCACTGACCAGCACAAATAAACCCATCTGAATGCATAGAAAATGCCAAAACTGGATATAAAAACCAGATTTTTATAGCCCAAATAAACACCTTAATGTATAAAATCACCAAATAGTGGATATGAAAATCAAATTTCAGCATTTTAACATAACGTCACACGCACATTTGAGCTGCCGTTTACTGTATTTGATGTGCTCCTTGTACGTGCATTTATCAATGTTTTTATGTAAATTAAAGGCTAAATTAAATTTGTTCATAGAAAGCAATTATGTTTTGAACTTGGATTAAAACACTTGATTCGTATGGATTTGAAGTTTTGGTGGAACGAGGCTGGAGGAATGTCTTGTGAAACAGCATAATTTGCTACATGAAAAATATGTATTCAACTGCATTTTGAGTATGTTTTCATACCTTTGTTTGAATATACTTGTACTTTAGATAAACACACAAATAAACGATGCTACAGATAAACAATACTGTAGCAAGTAAGTACACAACTTCACTTGTAGCCTTTTAGTCCATAATGCAAACAGTGAGGTCAGACATTAAAATGTGCAAACAAGGCAGGGCAATATATATATACAATATATGCTTACGTTAAATATGACCATTGTCATCTTTTTTTTTTTTCTTCAACCAATGAGAAATGTTCCCTCTACTGGCTTCACCTGGTTTTTCATTTTTGCCAAGGAAAATGTTGAGCCAATTTGAATAACTGGCAAAAGTAAATATAAATAATTACACCCCTATCAATTTTCTTTGGCAATTGTGCAAACATCGTAAAAATGGCAACACATTTTATTTGAATCCTTTTAACTCTCATCTAGCTCATCTGTAATTTTTGTTAAATGTTCCATATAGTCTGAATGTGGTGTACGAATGTAACCCGAACATATATTCACAACATTGTCAATGTCACACGACCTATCAGTTGCGTTGCTTCACTGCCATTCACAAACCCCTCATCGGATAGTATATTGCAGACTGAATGCAATTTATATGTACACTTAATTACACCGGAAGTAGTAAACTGCCCCGGTACTTCTTGCCTACCGTTTCATGAATACTGTAAACTCATATACGGAGACAAATTAGTGCTAAATTGTTATTCTAACTTTCAGAGACCAGTGATATAGACAAAACCAGCACCGGTATATACACACCGTACAACCTAGGTTCACCATATGAGTCTTCAGTTATACACCGTTACCCTGGACACCATTGTTGCATTGTTCATCTTGTTGTGAGGTCGACTGTCTTGTAATTTTTTTTCCCTTAGCAGCATGCTTTAAGATAATGTATAAGACAAGTAAAACCTCAACCACAATTGTTTGGTGAGAAACATTTAACACATGGGATGACGGTTCATTATTCCTTCCTTGTTTGATCATCTTGGATAAAAGCCACTTGCTAAATACTGCTTTAATTAGCAGAAGCTCAGAGTTCATTACAAACAAGTAAAGATCAACTCAAATTAATGTCCAATTACTTGGGAGTCAAAGAGTCATGTAATAAGCAGGATAACGTACAGCCAGCTAGTTGCTATGAACATCACTATATTTGACAATTATTCTCATGCTTGAAAAGAAACCGTGGGGGGGACGACAGCTTTCTTTAAAGATTTTTTTCCTCTTTATTTAGCTGAACATTTATTCATCCAAAAACAGTTTTCACCTCTGGGTTACAACACTACAGTCGTATACTTGTTGTTTACGTGGTTGTTACAATGTACGGTTAGTCACAGTAATATGCAATATTCACTGCGGTCCTAATATATTGCCTTGCTCAAAACAAACACTTGACGATCCAACACCACAGCTAAAGCAAGCGTTTCTCCCTGTAAAGGACAGAAGAAAATAAGATCACATGTTACATGAAGAAAAATCATTCCCATACGATTACAGACAGCTAGTTGAAATGTTTGAAGATTATATAACCATGCCGGGAAGGGCACCGCAGCAGGCCTCAAACCACCTCAAAAATCGCTCTAGCAGACATTACAGGAAAGGACAGAGTCACAATGACTCGACCTTGCTGGTCAGCCTGCAACAATGACTTCGGTTTTAGAGAAAGCCCAACTAAAACCGTATAATAAAGTGTTGCTTTGAAAATAGGTGTGAATTATGTGTTGACCAAACTTACTTCCTTGTAGCAGATGCGAGAAACTCATGGCAAAGGGGGCATCAAACTCATGACCAATATATATAACATTAACTTGGCCAGATGAATGCTCTCTGAAGGCTTCAAGGAATTTCCATTTTGCTGTAAAATACAGACCATTTCAGCAAGTTTCACAAGCAAAGGATTACATTGCGAGACCTTCAAGCACATGTTTGAAGAACTGATTGTCTGAGGTTTCTATAACCGTACTGCAGAAGGCAAACAGCAGGCCTCAAACCACCTCATGTCCATCTAGCAGACACAATAGGAAAGGACAGAGTCACTTCAGACTCAACCTCGCTGAACGGCCTGCCAGACTACTACACATTACATACATATTCATTTAGTTACCAACCAAACTGGCCAAAACCTACATTAACAATGCACAATTAGTTTTTAATACAGATAAAGAAGTACAAAAAGTTAACTTTAACGAACACGTGCATCTGAGCTCGACACGTGGACCCTTGTGACCACGTGCTTTTTTTTTTTTTTTTTTGGACAAAACTTATTTAAAACTACTCAGCTATATCAAGATACAATTTAGAAAGAAAAAGGCGTTATAATTAAAATCTAAAACAGTTTTTTTTTTTACACTTACAAGACTTAAAAAACGTAAAATCTATCCTTAATTTCCATTTTGCTGTAAAATACAGACCATTTCAGCAAGTTTCACAAGCAAAGGATTACATTGCGAGACCTTCAAGCACATGTTTGAAGAACTGATTGTCTGAGGTTTCTATAACCGTACTGCAGAAGGCAAACAGCAGGCCTCAAACCACCTCATGTCCATCTAGCAGACACAATAGGAAAGGACAGAGTCACTTCAGACTCAACCTCGCTGAACGGCCTGCCAGACTACTACACATTACATACATATTCATTTAGTTACCAACCAAACTGGCCAAAACCTACATTAACAATGCACAATTAGTTTTTAATACAGATAAAGTACAAAAAGTTAACTTTAACGAACACGTGCATCTGAGCTCGACACGTGGACCCTTGTGACCACGTGCTTTTTTTTTTTTTTGGACAAAACTTATTTAAAACTACTCAGCTATATCAAGATACAATTTAGAAAGAAAAAGGCATTATAATTAAAATCTAAAACAGTTTTTTTTTTACACTTACAAGACTTAAAAAACGTAAAATCTATCCTTACAGCATTGTACGCCTACTGCATGATATTTTATATCACATTAAGATGAACAATAAATAACCTTGTGCTATGTTTACGCACTGATATTTCAAGCTCACCTCAACAGAGACACGAGACAGAAGACACCGCTTGCACAGCAGTCCCGAAGCGAAAGAAGGATCCAGAACTCACACCAGTTGAAGGTCTTTTCTTCTTCTTCTACGTTTTTGATGCCAGCTCGCAAAACAGGTGTTTGATGCGTTACTGCCACCAACTGGACAGGAGTGTGAAGCGCAGAAGAATACAATATTAGTAACGCATATTTGAAATTCTGTCATATAAACCTGTTACTCTTGAGATAATGCAATAATATGGCACATATCGTTCTGCACCATTGTTAAAAGGTTTGGCAAAGTTTGAACTTTTCTGAAGTTCATTGCTTTCATTTTCATAGACTGGAGTGAGTGTTTAGAGCTATATTGATTTGAAATGTATTGTCATTTGCACAGGTGCATTACAGTACACTGGACTTCTTGTGAGTTTCTCACAGTCAGCTTTTGTAGAAGCAGTAAACTTTCTCAAAAAAAAAAGTGCAAGAGAGAAAGAGAGAAAAAAGATGCTTATTTGATTAGAGAACTATTTTGTAATAAAATTATTGTATTTTTTATTACTTAGACATTTCAAGAAAGCTTGAAAGGGTTTCATAAATCATTTGTGAACCTGCCTCATATGAATTCGACTTTCAAGTAATAATAATGAACAGACCTACCAAATTGTGATATTGGTTTACACTGCCATTTTACAGAATGATAATCTGGCTTCACTTAGTCCGCAATTAATTTCATCTGCAATGACAACTAAATTATGTTAGCTTTGTTTAATCTTAAGGTCAGCTTTGATTTCATGAAGTTTTATTTAGCTATTTCTTACTATATTACAGTTGAGTAGCATTCATATCTTCTATTAAAAATAATTTCTTTTGAAAATAGTAGTTTAGGCTAGGCTTTCTACAATACTGTGCTGTAGCCTATTTACACAATGCTCGCATTTAATGCAGTTTCAAGTGAAGTCGGCTTTAAATGTTTTGGTCCTTGGCCTAAACTGTTCCTGCACTGTAAAAAAAAAAATCTGTGACATTTACGGTAAAATACCGGCAGCTGTGGTTGCCAGAACTTCACCGTTAAAACTATGGTAGAAACATTTTAGGTTTTACAGACTTAACTTAAATTCACAATAAAAAAACGTATTTCATTAACTGATGTAATGTTAATAAACCAACATATTGAAGCACTAATATCTGTTTTAAACTATTGAAATGCTGATAACCACCAAAAACAGGTGGTGCTGAGAAAGCCACACGATGAATCAAAGCTCATCACCATCAGCTCTCCCACAAGCTGAGAAGGGAAATACTAATATATCTATATATATATATATATATACATAGAAGGTGCACAGTGTCATTCACACAAACACTAAACACCATCATGGTAACACACATGATACTGAAATAATGCAATAAACATTCATTTAACAACATTAGATTTAAGATGAAACACTAATGTACACAACGGATACGAAAAAACTGAGAAGAAACAGTTATTTCAACGAAAAAAAAACATATGAAGCGTCATGCAGGGAATTCTGGGAGTGTCAATTTACGGTTTGTCACTGTAAATTATACAATGACTTTTTCTTTTTCACTTCGAAATACAGTATTTTAACAGTATTTTACTGTAAAATTACATTAAATGTAATTACAGTTATTCACCGTATATAGTATGGAAACTTACTGATAACCAATTAACAGTTTTTTTATTGTAGCCTTTTTACAGTCTTTTACTGTTAAAATCACAATCATTTTTTTACAGTGTGGAGTCAACATTACAGATATAAAGTATATAAAAATATATTTAGTTTTCGAACAGTGTGATGGAAAATGCTGCCGTTTCCAATTCTTACACTAGAGAGAGGCATATTACTGTTGATCATGTTGACGTCCCACAGCACCGTAAACCGGTTAGTCGTTACTTTGGGCTAATATTCAATCTGGTCAGCCCCAGCTTGCCAATAGAGGAGGTGGCCAGGAGAAATCTGTGCCTTCTGTCGCTGTACACACCGACTGTCACTGTTTGTCCACTTAATCTACAAATGGCTATGCAAATGTATCCTTCAATAGCTTGTGTTAATAACAGCAGCACTATGGTCTAGTGTTGTTGAATCTGAAACATGAGGAAGAGTTTCAGTTTACATGGGGCTTTAATCAGACGACACAGAGAGCCACACAGCAACATGAGAGCGCACAGCACTGTGCCAGCACAGCTAAAACGGGATGAGCTAAGAAACAGACATCAGTGTTGTGTCATGAAATGAGGCTATTTTTTTGCTTTGCTTTTTTCACCATAAACAGAAGCTTAATATAGTATGAAAATATGAAAAGTATTTCAAACAGTATAATAAGATATGAAAGTAGAATTTTCAGCTAAGATGAAACTAAAAACATTTTTTATTTGTTTGTAATTCTTTAAGTTACATAAATAAAGACAACTTTTAAAAATCTTAATGTTTTGTATTATATATATATATATATTTTTTTTTTTTGTAATATTATTTAAAATATATTTAAAATATAAATGTTTCTGTTATGTACTTAAAAATTACTTACAAATAAATTAAAATTAATAAAAGCCATAATAATTTCTGTCAGTAAAGCTAGCCAGTATGTGCTCTGCACATCTATTTAACAAAATTTACTATTTAACAAAATAGTTTCTTTTGATTTTTCTATCATGGATGTTATCTTCTTTAAGACAAATTGAGGGGGGGAAAAAAGAAAAACATGTTTTAATAAAATTTTTTTGATTAGACCAATTTAAAAAATGCACTTTAAACAAATGAATTTTTTATTCAGTGTAGTTGCGTTTAGCATTGTTATCGCCCTGCTATACTTGACCTTACATGACCCTATCATAACCATAATAATTTCTGTCAGTAAAGCTAGCCAGTATGTGCTCTGCACATCTATTTAACAAAATTTACTATTTAACAAAATGGTTTCTTTTGATTTTTCTATCATGGATGTTATCTTCTTTAAGACAAATTGAGGGGGGGGAAAAAGAAAAACATGTTTTAATAAAATTTTTTTGATTAGACCAATTTAAAAAATGCACTTTAAACAAATGAATTTTTTTTTCAGTGTAGTTGCGTTTAGCATTGTTATCGCCCTGCTATACTTGACCTTACATGACCCTATCATAACAGACCTGGGATGCATTTTTATGTCACAACCCATCAGTTTAGAAGCACTGCCCTAATAGACCTGCAGCCAGCAGTAGACAAAAAAAGATGAAGCACTCAAATAGTTCTTGGACAAGACCTGGCTGGGCAGATGACAGCTGCCTCCCTCTCCCTCTGCCAGCCATTAAGAGCAGTAATCCATCTAAAGGAATTCTGGGTAAAGTGCACAGTTTAACAATGCTGTAATGCAGCACAGTGACGCACATCACAAACAGTAGGACTTATGCCTCTGACCATTGCACTTGCCTTGTGCTCAGACGCCACTTTTCAAGAACCAAACAGATGCTGCTTTAATACTGCAGGTTATATGATGCACAACATACACTAGTTTACACTGAGATTCATAATAACATGTTTACCTCTGAGAATAAATGCTGTTGCTTTAGTGTGGAGTTGCACAAGCAGAGCAGTGAATGATGCTTTTGTTTGAGTGTTGCGAACTCTCATCAGCTGAAGGTGGGGGAGGAACACAGCGCTACACAGCGTGAAGGGCAAGACGACACATACAGTGATTTAAGGGAAAGTGATTCATTGAAGAACTTTCACTGAATTAAAGTGCATTCTGTACAAAAATACTGCAATACACAGTGAAATGAAACAAGACAGTACAAAACTAGCATAGTGATACATCTATGAACATTTGTGGACCAACTAGTCCACAACTTTGTTTGAATAGGCTAGTGCAATGTTGCAATATAACACCTGCGATACGTTGACCTCGATGTAAATTTTCCACTGAACACCCTGAGAGAGCACAGACTCCAGCACAGGGAGGTGATCGACTGATAGTCGTGCACACAGCTGCCTGTGTAACAGGAGAACATTGGGAAGATTTTGAAACACTCAGATCAACGGTTTCAGGTCTTATTGACGTATAATCAGGGTTCATAAAATTCCAGTCAGCTGACCTTATCGGTATATTAGATTAAAAGAGGCAAAAACAACAACACAGGTCTCATAGCATGGTGTCATAGCAGGCCACACACGCAAGAGAAACTTGAGTCAAGTTCATCCCTGCCCTTGTAGGTTTCATTTCACACGCTTTCTCTTTCCTGCTGGTTGTTACTAGCTGATAATAACTATTGTCTTTCACAGCTTCAGGTTTATAGTGGTGTTGTGTTCGGTTTGCTGTGTTCACACAAAAATGAACATTCTGTCATCATTTACTCACCAAACCTGACTTAATTTCTTAGAACACAGAGAAGATATTTTGAAGAGTGTTTAAACTGCTGTTGTCTATACAACAAAATATAATGAAGTACTTTACATGTGCTTTAGTATGTTAAATACAACAAAGTTATATTATATTATCTTCAAGTACAGTTATTTTTATTGCAAGTGCACATTCAATACAATTAAAGTGCACTTAATACATTTCTTAAGTTTCACAAATTTTTCAGTGAAAAAAGAGGCCCTGTAATCCCACATTTTCTTTACAGATCTAAAAAGATGTCCCAGACTATGCTCAGATTTGCCAAGATACGAAATCCTGCAATTCATTCAACATTTTTCACATTATCTGTCCTATTTTTAAAACTCTACATTCTTACAGTAAGCCAACAATTGTGTCTTCTGGGGTCTTCTGAGGAATTTTAAAAGAAAAATCTGGGATGAAATCAGAGGCGGACAAAGTACTCAACTCCATTACTTGAGTGAAAGTACAGATACTAGAATTTTATTGTCGTACATAATACTTGCAATACTTCTGAAGCAACTTAGAATACATTACACCTGCTGAATACACTGACTAGCTTGTAGTATCTTTGGAATAAAGAGCTTTTAGAATGTTAAAAAAAACCTATGGGGGTGGGGAAAAACACATAAATAAATAAAAATTGAACACCCCTACCCACCCCCACAAAAGCAGGATGGTAGTGATCTCACACAGCTCTGGACACATCTATGTGTAGCCA